AAGAGGGATGGATCCACTCTGACCTTCCTTGGTATGGAATTCTACAGTAAAGATGCTACTATGGAAAGGGTGTTGTCCCATTCATAAGCTCTTGGAGTAGTAGGACAAACATGAAAGTCTCTGCTGAAAACCATACATTCCAGACCAGTCATATGGAAGGAGGCAGTCTTTCAGATATCCTGGACATAGGTCATTTAGGGTTTTGTAGTTCAATATAAGTATTTTGGAATGCTTCCATAAGCTCATTTTGAATTGTGATTTATTGTTCCTTTAATACACATCAGACAACAAATTGGCTGCCGCTGCAGCTTTAAAACTCTATCAAGGAGCAGCTCACATAGCATGCATTACAATAATTAAGGCATTGCTCATTGTGACCAATTCAGCCTCCCCTGGAATTAGAAATCTATTAAAGTAGATATATGATAGTATGATAGAGGCACTGTTGTCGATGATGTACATGCTCATAATTTCATAAAAGGCTGCCATAGGGGATACGAAGCTACCTAATACTAAGAACTGAATTAGTGAATACACATTCACAGTTCATGTATATTCATATGTGGGGCATTGGGGGGGGGGGTTAAATTATTATATTTGGGCCTGGAATAATATATCTATTTTATTTATATCTAAGTTAGTAGTAAACTTGTGCATTTTGGCTGAACCTCAATCTGTTTCGTCTAGCCAGAGTCCAGTAGATCCCCATATCCATTTTCATGCATCTCCCTAAAAGAGTGGGTAGCTGGATAGCCATTTTCAGTCTGCAGCCAAAAAATGTGGCTAGATCCAGTCCATTGGTGGCAATGGGAACATTACAAGATTTCCCCTTCCATTCTTGGGATCCTTTCCTTTTTCCCTTCAAGAAACGCTGGGTTTTGGCAAAAGGGTTAAGAAAGCATCCTTCCTGGAATCCTTTCCTTTTTTACCTTCAAGGGAGCCTGGGTTTCAGCAACAGAGTTAGAAAACACGTTTCCTGGAATCCTTTCCTTTTTTACCTTCAAGGGAGCGTGGGTTTCGGCAACAGGGTTAAGAAAACACGCTTCCTGGGATTATTTCCTTTTTTCCCTACAAGGAAATCTGGGTTTCAGCAATGGGGTTAAGAAATCACCCTTCCTGGGACCCTTTCCTTTTTCCCCCGCAACGGGGTTAACAAAGCAGACACAGCTTGTATAAGACATGTCGTGGCATTCTTCTATTCCAATTGGCCCAACAGGCAGGGCTCACAGGGAAAGGAGGAGACATGATCGACTGCCACATGGTCCTGTAAAGGATGAAAAAAAACGTGGTGGCTGGGCCCTTGCTGTTACAGCCATCCGACCAAGCCAGATTTGCCAAAGGCAGCCGGCCATTACGAATCCATGCACAAGCCTACTTAGTAGTTAACGGTGGTTTAAATCCATGTGAGAAAACAGAAGAGTAAGCAACCAGCCAGTACTTGCTACAAACTATGCATTGATATTTCTCAATTGCAGCCGATTAAATGTTTACCTCAATATTGCAGAGACATTCTTCTAACTTGGAGACCATTTCAGAAAATTCAGGTCTTCCCTGCCAATACAAAAACAAAAGAACAATATGACTACAGTAAAAATCAAGTGTGTTTTGGCAGAAAGCAGGAAAAAATGATTGTGCAGCATGTATATTTCTAATCAAAGAATTGCAGCTTCTAAAAGACACTGGCTTGTTTTGTAAGATAGTAAATTAAAACTGCTCAGGGAAGAACATTTCAGGTCACCTCCTCCTCTTTTCTGCCACCTGCAACTCCAAAAAAGCCCCTCTGGAGAGTTGAGGAACCTGCTGAGTAATGTAAATGTAGGCACAGGCTGCTACTAAGAAAAAAGAAGAGAGAAAGTTTCCATCCTCGAACCTTTAAACGTTTCCAAAGGATACAGTTTTGAATATACCCCTACTCCTGTATGTATGTGTCAAGTTGTCTCCAAAGCATGAGATATTTTGTGCAAGTTTTCAAAGCTTCACTGTCTTCTTCATCAGGTAAAGTTGTTAAAAATAACACAGGAGAAAAAATGGTAAGGTGGTGAGTATCTTTGCACAGAACAAGGCCAACTAGATCTCAAGAGAAGTTAATTTCTGTTGCTAATGGAGTTTAAACTTTATCACCTGTATTTTATTACTTTTTTCTCTAGTCCTTTGTTGAAATACCTCTAGATCATTGAACCCCAAATTTTGATCTTCCATGAGGTTTGGAGTTTTTCTCAAGTTGTCTCTTGACTTATGGTGATCCTATGAATTTCGTAGGGGCTTCTTAGCCAAGGAATATTTAGAGGTAGTTTTGCCAGTGTCTTCTGAAATGTAGTCTACAGCATCTGATATTTTTTTTATATTCTCTCACTCAAGGACTAATTAGGGATGGCCCTACTTAATCTTCAAGATCAGATAGGATCCTGGCATCTTTAGGGCATTTAGGCAGCTCATTTATTCCCATCCATGCAGAAAGGCTCCACAACTAGTAGCAGCTTGTAGCATCCATCTTAGTAGAACTGTGAATCTGCTTTGGGTTTTGCCCCAAACTCTAAAGAAGCTCTCTGAGATTCTAAACCAGTAGTTCTCAATCTGTGGGTCTCCAGGTGTTTTGCCCCAAACTTCCAGAAATCCCAGCCAGTTTACCAGCTGTTAGGATTTCTGGGAGTTGAAGGCCAAAACATCTGGGGACCCGCAGGTTGAGAACCACTGTTCTAAACCCTTTCCAAAACACTGGATAGTTCCTTTAAAAACACCAGCTTCCATTTCTCTTAACCTACTCAGGGAAGTTATTTTCAAGGAAAGTGGGTAAACTACATGGATGGGGAAAGGGAATTGGAGACTTTCCTTCAATTAATCTCTTTAAAATTAGCCTGTTTTAGAACCAGAGCCATGGAAAATCAAACTTTCCACACAACATTACGGTGGATGAACTGCCTGACATGCTTTCTTACTTTTCTTTGTTGTCTGTATCCTTTTTTCATCTCCTGTCATTTTTGAAAAGTCTCATAAGAACCTTTTAAGATGAAGAAAATTAGAATTTCAAATCTTACAAAATTAACATTTCAAAGATCCCCAAAATACAGCTATCAACTTATAAAATTTTAAGGTGTACATGCCATGCCTATAGAAGAGTTCCAAAGATGGAATGCTTTTAAAAAGCCATCATTTTAGATAAGGCAAAGAGAGATATCCCTTGAACCCATAGTTCAAACTACATGAGATTATGTCTGGAGGTTAACGATGTTACACAGAATGGCTATTATAAATATAGCAGTATTCAAGATGTCTTACTTTGTCATGTAGCTATCTTACTTGCAGAGGCATCTAGTGTCTCCTGGCTAAACTGACACAATCTTGATTTACCGGGGAGCAGTCCCATGAGCAACAGGAGAATATATTCCTGTCAACTGAAATGCAGCAGCCTGATGTTTCTAATCCTCTATATCCATTAATCTATCATGTGTGACTGTTAGAAGCAGAAGGCCCATCGTAATTCCTCCTCACATCAGAAATTGTTGCAAGGAGGAGTGGAAATGCCAGTGTACTGCATCCTGATTGAGAAGAGAACTGATCCCTGTCTCTTTCAGAAACTGCTGCCCAATAAGTTATGACTGGGGGACTTTTATGCTTACTATGTTTTCTCTATACAGTAATGAATACATAAGGATCATGAATATGTATTAGTTATAAATGTATAACTCTAAGCTAAGCTTTTTAACTGCAGTTTTGAATTCCAGCTAAAATGATTTATGAGATATATAAACACAGTTTCTCAAAAATGTCACAGATTTGTGTTGCTAACACTGCTACATTTATGAATAAGAAATAGTTTCAGCAGGGCACTAGACATCCTCATGAGCTAAATACTGACATAATCAAGTTTGTATAAACTATAGCAACATTATTCAAGATAGCGAGAACTCATATGGACTCTGAACTGGTCTGAAAGGACCTGTTCCAATTCTGCAAATGGTATACAAAACTAGTAAAGGATGTTCATCGTGAATGTAAAGTGAGTGATACACAGTATTCAACCAAAAATATTAAAGCTATGCAAGTTTAGGTTAGTAAAAACCAAACTGGTCACAACTTTTCAGGGGAAAGTGTTGGAGGATACCTTTGTGACAACAACTGCTCAGTGTGACGGGTAGTAAAAATATGGATATATATATATCTGCATGCACATTTTGTTTGGTGGTCAAACAAGTGGGAAGTCTTTGCTTTCATGCTGTATTTCTCCATTTCTATGTGGCACTTGCCTGGATGATCTCTGAAAATATAGCTGAGGCTATGTATGTTCTTGGTATGATTCAGCAGGACACATTTTTAACTTCATACTATATGCTTCCACTCAAAGGCCAACTCATAATATGCTTTGAGTGTGAGTTTCTTACACCTGAATAAATACAAATTATCTCATTATCGAGATTATTGTTCCATCAAGTTTCTAAGCAGAAAAATATTGATCCTGATCATCGATTGATCCTGGTGAAGTTCTTGCATATGTTCATTTGTATTCGACCTAGATACTAGCTTTCGAGGTCCTGAGACTGGGAATGTAGTAATATTTATTTGATTTACAAATGTAGCTTGCCTACTTTTTTTTTTTATTAAAACTTCCAAAATCCTTCCAGCAAGCATGGAAACATGCTGTTTTGGTCTTGGTGATGCTGGGAGTTTTAGTCAAAGGGTAACTTTTCTGAACTCTGTTCATTGTCAATAAATGGTTAAAGGTAAATAGTGAGTGTATCTCAAATTCATTCTTAATGAAAACCTCCCAGAACCAGAAATCTGTTTGGTTGAATAATGATTTTTCCAATCAGTGGAACTGGACAATTTCTCTTTAACGAAGTATGTAAAAGAGTCTTTTAAAAGCAATGTTGCTGCTGCTTAATTTATTTGACTGCTGAACTGCAATTAATGTGTGGTTTTAAAAAATCTGATAGCCAAGATATACCTACATGCATTATATATTTTTTCCCCTTTTAGGTGCACTGCTCATTCTGCTTGCTATGATGATTCAGGTAATAACATCATGCCCCTCTTCCTGCGTGGTATGCTCTGAAGATATTACTCTATGTCAAGGATTAACATACATACTAGGTAACTAAGTAAGATGCTCTAAGAGTGAAGTGATATTTATTCTGTGCTATAAGCTCACGCTGTACAGCTGTAATTGTATTGACTGCTTCCCAGTGTCTGCTGCTGAGAGGTAAACTTTCAGAGAGCTAGCCTTTCACATTTTGACTGGAGAGTGATAGCATTGTTTCATTTCTTTTTGCCTAGAGGCCTTATCCAAACTATGCTGAGCCCTTCAGAGGTAATTGAAAACCTTTGTTACCCTAGAACAGAGTCATTTCACTCAGCCGAATGCTTTGCGGAAAAACAAAATAGATCATTTTAATAAGTTTTGTCCACATATTGTGCAAAGTTCAAGCTGTCCGCTCACTGAATGAGCTATCAATTGCCTTCTAACCCTGCCAAGGAATACTTCAGCATTAGCAAGATTAAGTGATGGACCAATGATACAGATTAGCATCAAAAAGTGCATTATAATTCTAAAAGAATGCATTCTTACCACCATCATCTTGGTACCAAATGAGAAATAGAAATGCTAACAAGATGCAGTGCTATGTTCATTATGTATTGTATGCTTAAGTCAACAATTTAACAAGGCACCTGATTAACAAATGGAAACCAGGGGTTGGCTTGCTTGCTGTTTCTTTGCGAAGGGTAATTTGCCTACTGCCGTCAACAGAAAAATACAACTCTAATAGTTGTTAAAATAATAGACAATAATTGACAGAGCTAATAATAATAAGTTCTGCTGTCTTCTTTGATATAATATCATTATTTTGCATATGATGAAACAAGAGGGAAAATGAAAAGGTTCAAACTCAATACTGAATGTAAATGCAGTAACTTTCAGCAGTTTATTATGCTCTCCTATGTATTCTCCTGATATGATGATTTAATTGCCAATGGCAGTATCAAAAAAGTTCAGAAGCATGCTAAATAACTCAAAAGTATTGATTCAAGTCAAGGTATATGTGCTATTTGGGCCATGTTTTCTCTAGGGAAAACAACATATGGAGTATCCAAAGGGATATCACTCACTAGATTGCTCGCTTCAGAAAGCTTTTAATTTGCTAACAAAAGGACATAGCTGTGTTGCTGTGAGTTTTCCAGGCTGTATGGCCATGTTCCAGAAGCATTCTCTCCTAATGTTTTGCCCACATCTATGGCAAGCATCCTCAGAGGTTGTGAGGTTTGGGTTGTTGTAGGTTTTCCGGGCTATATGGCCATGTTCTAGAGGCATTTTCTCCTGACATTTCGCCTGCATCTATGGCAAGCATCCTCAGAGGTAGTGAGGTCTGTTGGAAGTAGGAAAATGGGTTTATATATCTGTGGAAAGACCAGGGTGTGACAAAGGACTTTTGTCTGCTGGAGCTAGGTGTGAATGTTTCAGCTGACCACCTTGATTAGCATTTAATGGCTTGGAAGTGCCTGGGGGAATCTTTCTTTGAGAGGTTATTTGATGTGCCTGATTGTTTACTCTTTGTTGTTTTGCTGTTGTAATTTTTGAGTTTTTTTAATACTGGTAGCCAGATCTTGTTCATTTTCATGGTTTCTTCCTTTCTGTTGTGAGGTTTGTTGGAAACTAGACAAGTGAGGTTTATATATCTGTGGTGTTGCTATAAGAAGGTCCTCCATTGTGCATGTGGCAGGGTTCAGGCTGCATTGTAATAGGTGGTCTGTGGTTTGTTCTTCTTCACGCTCACATGTTATGAACTCCACTTTGTGGCCCCATTTCTTAAGGTTGGCTCTGCATCTCATGGTACCACTGCATTGTAATAGGTGGTCTGTGGTTTGTTCTTCTTCAAACTCACATGTTGTGAACTCCATTTTGTGGCCCCATTTCTTAAGGTTGGCTCTGCATCTCATGGTACCACAGTGCAGTCCGTTTAGCGCCTTCCAAGTTGCCCGGTCTTCTGTGTGCTCAGGAGGGAGTCTCTCATTTGGTATCAGTCATGGATTGAGGTGCTGGGTTTTAGCCTGACTCTTGCTTGCTTAGGTGTTGCGAGTACCTCTGTAGCTATTAGAAAGCTATTTCTTGATTTAAGGCATTAGTGTGCTGGCTGATGTCTGAACAGGGGATGGGCTGGGGATGTCACTGCCTTGGTCCTGTCATTATTGGCTGCTACTTCCCGGCGGATGTCAGGTGGTTCAATACCAGCCAGACAGTGTAATTTTTCCAATGGTGTAGGGAGAAGACAGCCTGTGATAATGCAGCATGTCTCATTAAGAGTCACACCTACTGTTTCAGTGTGGTGAGATGTGTTCCACACACTGGGCATGCGTGCTCAGCAGCAGAGTAGCAAAGTGCAAGGGCAGATGTCTTCACTGTATCTGGTTGGGATCCCCAGACTGTGCCATTCAGCTTTCGTATGATATTGTTTCTAGCACCCACTTTTTGCTTTATATTCAAACAGGGCTTCTTGTAGGCCAGAGAGCAGTCCAGG